CGTTGAGACCACGTGGCCATCACGTTGCTATGGCGTTATAAAGTGGCTGTCACGTTGTCCCGAAGTGGCACGTTCCCCCGGTAACTTTTATTATTAGTTGCTTTGTAATGACAGCCGTTAAAATATATTGTGCTAATCGAATATTCACATATAAAATGAGTGAAGATGAACTACCAATAAACAGTAATTGCACTCTTACTCCATATCCATATCTTCCCCGGGCCGTCTGGGTACTGTTCCATAGCCATTTTGCTCGGCGTACAAGGGCGGGTCACTGCGCTGTTTTAGGTGGTCGAGCTTAGCATACTGGACGCAGAGATTCAACGCTTTTAACCCCTCGTAAAGGAAAGAGAATGTGAACACAGCCAAACATGTCGCCATGAAGTCTGTAACACAAACACCGCGAGTTAAAAATTAAACAAAAAAGTAAAATTCTTGTTCTGCTATTGCAATTTAAATAATATCAACAATGATAATAATAATAATAATTTATTACCGTACTACCACTAGGGCATTTTAAAATGACTATATGGCCACACAAAGTACATGTACATTTATCCGTGCTATTATTCAAACCAAAATGTTATTGAAATACTACTTAAACGTATGATACAAACACAATTAAGTGGAAGACAGTAAGAAAGATAAAGAATTAGTATAAAATAATATAATATGATATATTTTTCTACGTGTATATCCAATACTAGTCTGGATATAACGAGCGAGCGAGCGAGCGAGCGAACGAGAGAGAGAGAGAGAGAGAGACTAACGCCATTCCGGATCGGTCATCCATTGCTCAAAAATTCTAATCTTTTCAGTCCCAAAATGGAAGGACAGCTATAAAAAGACAAAATGGGATACAATCATAGGTGTTAATATATAGTTATCTGTAAAAGATTAAAAATCCAAGCTGCTCGACTTATTATACCCAACGACTTTTTCTCACATTAACATGTAAATTGTTACAGTTGCACTCGGTCTTCTCTAAAGCAATTTCATAACAGAGTTAAGGTTAAATCGACAAGTAATATTTGCGTTCTGATGCATAACGTGTGTCTCGGGATCTTTTCAACACATATCACCCCAAGCATGATCATCAGGTATTTTGATCGAGATGTGGTATTTGGTATCTGTATAGGACGAGTTATATGTCGAGCAACAAAGCGTCGGCACTGACTGTTTTTATACTTTTGAATGGTGCATACCAGTAAGTATAGGCCGCCGACAACTGTCCTACGAGTCTCATCTAATTATGTCAGGTGAGATATCTCTGTTCATCAGGTGACTATGGTTCTGAGACAAATTTTCATTAAGAATGACCAAATCATATAACCAATAATACTGTTTACCTATAATTTGGCCTCTCTTACGACAAGTACTTGTTTAGAAAATATGATTGTATTTGTAGAAATGCATAATGAAAACAGAAACATACCTTATCATCTGATGGATACGACATGTTTTCAAACACTTGTCATCTAGCCCAGTAAAGTAATGACTCTGCATGATACAACGTCGTTTGACGTCCAATTTCTGTTGAAATTATAAATAAAGTATCACCACTATTATTGTTACACAACTTTTCACTGCTAAATAAATGTAACTAATGGATATCATCATCGCCACCTGCGTCACTCCTCTTGAGAACAGTTCAACTAGGCTTCATGAAGAACTGTCCATTACCGATCTTAATTGTTAAATTTTATTTAAATCATAACAATTGACACATATTTAATACGGATTGCAAAATAGCTTTTAAGTTAAAACACGGTGCTTTTAAGCTCTGCTCATACAAGAGGGCCAGACCACCATCAAATATTTGTACGTACACACGAGTGCCCGCATGGAATTTGTTGGTGTCTTTATTAATTCAGGAAATACTAATTTAGTTTTGTCAACGCTTCCTTACAACACAAACAAGACAGTTTGTTATCTACTGGTACCGTCCTTTGAATCGTCTGCATAATGCTAATTTGGTCTTCCGCATTCGCAACAGCGGTGACTGTGCCGTTCACTCTTAATTATCCCAGTGCCTTTATGACTGTACTTTTACCCCTTTTTATTATGTATCATATTAACTACGAATTTCAGAAATCGCCCCCACCCCCCTCAAAAAAGAAAAAAATCAAAAACAAACAAAAAAATACTTTAAGGGCGTGTCCTGCAATAAGATTCGGTTATAAGCCAAAACCACAACACGATCTGCAAATAAAACAAGTCGTACCCATTAACTTTTGTAACATAAAGGGACATTTTCTTAGTTTGCTCAGAAAATAAGACATCGATTTTTCTTTAATAAACTCATTGCATGTTTGGCATGCTTGAAACAAAGTAATAGAAAACTAAGAAACAACTCGCATCTACGAAATTTTATTAATACTAAGCAGATAATATCATGAAAAAATATCAGTCAAGTTAAATAGTCTGTTTTAACATTTCATTTTAAAAAATAAATTTGTTTCCTTAAAGTTAAAATTGCCTTTAAAGCTAAAAATGCAAGATATATTATCAAAGAATTGGTTAAATCATTCTCCACTCGTATATTTCAATCTTAGCAACAGCTCGCCATCTCCTTAATACAGTGTGCACATCATTTAAAATGCCCTTTTTTTCATACAGTATTATGTGCACTGTCTAAAATGCGGCTTTGTAGTCATATACATTGTAAGTTGTAATCACAGAAATATGTTTTTTAAAAATATGGGATTACTTAACAGTCAAAAATATCAATAAGAGAGATATCCATTTGCAATGCCAAAAAAAAAAAAAGAGTTACGATCTAATTTGGTATAGGAAAAATATTTAAAAAATATCAGAAATATAGAAATTTGCAAAATAAACTTAAGTATTACTCAGAAAATTGGCATACATAAATAAGTAACACGGCAAACAACAGAAGGTGACACATGTGCTGTAATTACAGTATATATATGATGCACAACTATGGAAGTAAAATCTATTAACGGAATACGTAGTGCCCTTTCCTAATAAAGCAGGTAAGCATCAAAGCATAACACGGGCTAACTATGGCAATTGAAACAATTAGGTACATAGTTACTTGGGTCTCCATACCATGCTCATCATGATCATCAACTGCTTGTATTGTATAGTTGTAATAACAGGTGGTGAAAGTTACAACACCCGAAGGGTTGTTTTCTTATAGCTATCATAAAGCATCTAGTATCAAAATAGCTTTCATACATGAATGCCCTTATGCAGTGGTATGTTATATGCTAAGCTTACGTCGGGATTCTGAAGATGTTTCACAAAATAAAAATGGAAATTAATATTCAAAGATGGTATGAACGATTACCTTTCCAGATAATTATAAACTGCCCTGATAAATTCAGATTCCTGTAAAACAGTTATGCAATAAGGTAATAATAATAATAGTGTAGCTCTTTGATTTCCTTCTCCCTCAAAACTTCTTATTATACACTTCTGTTCCTTTTTTAAATATCAATAGTGTTGAATGGCCAAAAGATACATAACAAGGTTATAGGAACCGGCATCAAACATTCAATTTAAAGAAAATCAAGTTAAAGTGCCTCCAGTAAAACAAAAAATCTTAATGTGACAATTTACTGATTTAAAACTTCATTCTAGTCTCCTGAATTCACTCACCATTTCTCTCAAAATACCAAATTCAAACTTCTGTAACTGTAAGATATTTTCCACAGTGTCTCTAGAAGGTTCTATACTGTCATTAATCCCATCGCATGAGATAGATTGAGTGTCAAGGTCTTGAACTTTTTGCAAGATATGTTCTATGAGCCCTTAGGGCATAGCAGAGGATATCTGTATTTTATGACCCAATACAAGTTCTGACAAAAATATTTGAAAAGTCACATTAAAGGAAAAACTTGCAACTTCTTTGACACAAGTGACTTTGAAGTAAAACAATATCAGTCTTTCCAATTAATTATGCTTTTCAATTGATATGTCACTATCGAAAGTTACATGTTGCAGAAATTTAAGTACAACTATTAATTTAACATCATTTAAACTAATCAAGTTGTCCAGTGACATTATATACTTGGGCATCTTGCACACTGAGCCGAATAGTTAACTGGACTGGTCCTAAAATTGACAGCTTAATAGTTAGTCCGTCACCTAAGAGAATAACCTTAACAGCATGATCAACTTATTAACATAATTAAACAACTGGGTGCGAAATTTTGGGGAACTTGTGAAAGAGTGAAACCGAGGATTCGCTGGTTATATCCGTACACGTCCCCGCACCGATACTTCCCCGATCCAATACTCCCCCACATCATTGCTTCCCCGCATCGATACTGTGCGGGGATATATCGGTGTGGGGTCATATCGATGCGCATAATACAAAAAAATTACTGTGGGGGATTATCGGTGCGGGGGAGTATCGACATGACCCCGATTCGGTAAGAGTCACCTATATATCAGTGCACCTCGATCGTCAGAGCCTCCCGCCTCCTAAAAGTTGAAATCTGTCAAATAGGAGCAGTCCAGTAAGTATGCCACTCAATGTGAAATAGCTCGATTTATATTATTGTCAAAACAAAAACATAAACACACACTCATCCACCCACACTACACAGTGCCATAAGATTGTATAACCATGTATATATTGAGGCCACAAATTATGTGTAGTTATATGAATGTGTGGTTATCTGCAGTTAAGTGTATGTGTGGCTTATACACACACAAACACACACACACACACACACGACTGCCTTATGTACTGGTACATCAAAATAATACAGATATCCCCTGCTATTGGTCGCTCAGTTCACTATTGCGCCAGGATGGTTTGTTTCTGCAATTTCAGATCACAAATGATCTTAAAAATACATGGTCTTCATCATTATAGAAATGATCTTAACAGGGACTGACTCTGCTTTTAAGATCAAAAACTATGTTTCCCGGAATAAGTACGACTATTTTGGGATTGTCTTCTAGTTACATGTAGGTGTTCAATCGATTTTCTCACACGCCCCCCCCTTCCCCCCCCCCTCCCCATTGTGATCTTTTAGGATTTTTAAAAATGCACAGTCAGTCATTGTTAAGACAGGTTCTATTATGATTAAGACCATATAATTTATCTAGACATCTAGACCATTTCAGACATATGTTACACCATTAAAATCAGAAATAAGAGTACAAATATGAGGAAATTCGACACCTTTGGCCATCTCCAATAGTATAAAAATGTAATCAAAATGAATTTAAAAAATCAAAAATAAACCACTAGCAGTCACATTGTTCCTGAACACTTTAAAATTAAACCATCACAAAAGACAAGGCTAGGCATAAACATTCTACATTGAACATATCTAGGGGACATAGGTGTTACAACAAAACAATATAAGTAAACTAATAACTTCACTCATATAACCATATAACCCTTCCATAAACTTATCGTCCCTTTAATTGCCTTGTCACTACCTCGTTTATTTTGATGATGTCGTCTTGATCACAGATCCCTATCTCCATATCATCACTTATATTCACATTTTAATTAGAATTACATGTATAACGTGGACAAAATAGCTTACTTTTGAATTGATCAGTTAAAGTCATGTGACCCCAGAGACATTTATTGCGACGTGTGTGCCATGTCATCTAATAAATTTTTGTTCTTAGTGAATGCATGGTTCACAGAGTCACGAGTTCTAAGGAAATGTATAATGGTTTACAAATCTACTGTCCTAAGTTAGAAATTTTTTTTCATAATACACTGAAAATTTTATACCATTGCATTGCAGTATTTAAATTAAATAATTTCATCACACTGATTTTTGCAATCTACTAAAATAGCAAGTTTAAACAAGTGCACGCGTGCATAAGTACCAGTGCCAAATGTAATACTGGTTAGTAAAAAACGTATAGAGGGATCGTTAAACTCTCATTCCTTGGATGAAAGTAGTGAACTGTATCCACTTTAAAGATAAAACACAGAAATGGTAATCCGCTAGGAACCGTAGTCCGTTTTCCATTACTTCGTGCGGGAGACATTCGTTCCATATACTAACCCTACTATTCCAACTATAACCCTAACCTTTACTAATCATACAGGACCCCAGACTTCCATTCCCAGGACTACCATTCCTGTCACACCACTCACACTAAGTTACTAAAAGTCTAAAACTACATCCATATCCGATCACCATCATGCTTTTCGCGTGATTTTTCGGCGTCTTCAAGCAATGTGTCCGGGTTGTTTTGATCCATGTGTGAGGGCGCGGTTCCTGGGCTGCCTGGTTCGTTGGTATCTTCTATGGGTACGCGCACAGGCTGGGCTCCACCTTGTGCTGCTGCAATATAACGTACATTCTTACTTTTATGTCATTTAAAAACTACGTACTTATATTCATTGTAAATACTCTGATCAAAATTTACGTGCTGCATTGAATAAGATGCTAAGATTTCTTCTGTTTGAGCTTAACATTAACAAATAAATACACAGCGCATGGTTGCTGAACCCATGTATTTAGGAATAATCTTACTGTTTTGTTGTGAGAGATATGATCTATCTGGAGGGTGGTAAAACAATTTGTTTTTAAGATGTTAAAACTGTCAAGGTGCCGATCGGTCTACAAAATTGCACTACTTAACAACCTCCTATCCACAAGAGAGCAACCAATTTTCCAACTTACAGCTGCAGTTTTCATCTGACTTGAGTTCTAACAGCTCCAAGACATCCTTGTTTTTACGAGCGTTGGGGGCAATGGCAGAGCATATTTCTCTTATTCTTCTAATAACACCTGTAACATACATGTAATGTATAGCATCATTTGTGTTATGTGGCTTGAATAATCAGGTTTAATAATTTATTATTGTAAGTTTGGCTTTAACTCTGTGACGAGGACACCAGTTCGTACACAAATATTTATAATAATAATAATAATAATAAAAAGATGAAGAAGAAGAAGAAATATACTGTATTGTAATGACGAAGTTAACAGATATACTGGTGATAAACAAGTTCGATACAACAGAGTCTTTTAAAAGGAATCGTCAATATGGGTCGTACCTCGATTGAAGTATTTTCGTAAGATTCCCAATATGACGGCTACAACAACAACAACGACAGCCGCACATACGATCCATGTAACCGTAATATGATCGCATGTGCCGTTGTTGTTATCAGAAAAAGCCGAGCAATCTGATGAGTTCGAAGTTGTATCTAAAACCAAACAAAATATTAAAGAAGTGCCTTTGGTAGTTCAAAGTTAAATTTTCATCAGTTATTGCTGACACGCATTTTAAATTGAAATTAAATATCAATATTGACCATTAACCGCTGCAGTATCGCATATCAGTCCCTCCCATTTTAACGAGCATTTAATATTCTTTCATATGTCATTTTGTTACACAAAATTCTAAAAAATTTACTGAACAAAGTCATGTTTTCTTTCTGTGAAGACTATTTATAGTTCGAAATAAGACTTGGCCTTCTCGACGGAATGTACGAATAACTTACCGGGTGGCGGGAAAGTATAAGACGGGTTGGGGCAAGCATGTTTATCCCCACTATCAAAACACGCATAAAGATATTGTCCATCGACGAGGGTTTTGCATTGTTCTTCTGCTGTTAGTGTAGTCTGATGCCCGTCTCGGATAACCTCACAACAGAAACTGCATGGTTCACAGCTAATTAAACATAAATTAATGAATTTATTAAATCTTAATTAATAAACAACATTGTCAAGATATTGGCAATTACATGTATCTTAGTACATAATCAACCTTTGTCATTTATTCGTGTAAAAATACCCAGCCCTCACCTACCGGTACCTCGAGTATCTTAGAAATGTCAGGCCCAAAGCCAGCAATTTCAAAAGGGGGTTCTTTTTCTGAAAAAGTGGACCTTTTACCATGAAACCTTCATGTGCGTAGATAAAATTTTACCCAGAGGGGACCTTTTCCCAGCAAAATCGAACCCCCGAACCCCCCTGGCTACGGGCCTGAATGTGCAATAACTCTCTTAAAATACATTTACGATTGTAAATTTTTTTAATTCCCTATCAAGCATTTGCTAGGTTTGAAAATATCGCTGACAAGGCTCGTTTTTGATTTAAATCCAGATTCTGATGTTGCATGAGATTGATCTGGTACCCAGCATGCAACCCAAAGATGCTGAAGTGCAGACACAAAATTCTCAGTGCTTGAGTGCAGATCGAGCTCTGACCGACACTCATGTAGCTGTAGTTTCAGTATTTTGTCTCCCGTTTTAGGCGCTCATTAGTTGACGTGTTTAAGATTATTTATATTATATGCTTCATATTTTATTCCATACTCTTTTGACAGAGTAAATGTTTAAGTAACAAACAAGGCGTTTCTTAAGTGTGAGGATCTAGACTGAATGTACATGTGTAAAAAAATTAAATAAATTGCATCATCGCACCAATATCAGAATCTTTCAAATTTCTAACGAGAAACGCAACACTCTTTATATATGTTTTATGATATAATTATTTAAAATCACTTGAGCTCACCTTACTGTATCCGAGTTGAAGGCGTGGTACTGCTCACATATCGGTAGTTCCATGGCATGAATCCAGGTAAACACCGCAAGCAAAATCACCTTTAAACAGTATCAATCATTTGATCACAATGGAAATAATAAATCTAAAACATAAATAAGCTTCCCAACATGAAATATGATTTAAACAAAAATTAAACCGAAGTTAATCTAATGAATCTTATTTTTGAATATTTATCAAAATTTCCGATTATACTGTATGAATAAAATGTATTTTTTTTTATTTTTGAGGGGGTCCAATACCGATATGAACGAGTTACTAGTTTGTTGTTAGGTTAATTTAACAAACATACACCGGTACAGAGGAGATCGCACAAGAAGGCTCTTGTTGACCAGGGTCTTTAATTGATCTAGAAAAGTGTCAGCAAAGTGTTATAGAATTTATGCACATTTGGAGTTCACACTAAGCACGGGTATACTACATGAAGTATCTAAATCTGGGTCAAAATCATTTTTGAGGAGTACAGTCTAAACCTACCCAGTAGATTTGTACTAATATAAGACCCCATTCCCACAGATTTTAGATTGATCTATCCCTGTGGGGAGTCTCAGTAGATTACTGTCAGCTTAGCCGGCTTAAGCGTCTGTCCCGCCTACTAAAAGCTGTAGGCCTAAGTGGGTAATTAATACTGTCGTGCGCGCTCGGCCGACTTCAATTTAGCGTGAACCCTCAGGGAGTTAGGTCGATCCGGATGGATCGATCTTAATCTCTGGGAATGCACTCTTAGAGTTTAAGAGTTTATTTAGCCAGTTGTAAAAAAAAATTAATAGGAAATCACATAGCAACTTATTGCAACAAAAACTTTATTTAAGCTTTTATCAGCTTAATCGAGTAACCTTTGTTCTCTGCAACTGTCTACAATCATAAGAGAGAATTTGATTTCCTCGCCCAAAGTTAAATTGGACCATATTATATTATGTATTCATACAGTAGGCTACAATGCATGGCACATTCAACTAATCCAAATAACAGGAAATCATGTGACTATCGAAATAACAAATGGCTTCTAAACAACCAGGCAACTGATGTTTTGAAATGTTTTTTGTGGATGGAAGAAGGTAGGCAAGTTAATATACATGTAGGCTATTATGTATCATTTGGAATATAAATGATCTCCTATACATAAACTGTGTTAAAAGTCTGATTAAACTCCACGATTCCCGTTTGTTCAGAAAATGACCTGAAACCCTTCGTACATAGGGCCTACTTTCTCTCGCTTTTCCCATTTCCTTTTCCTTTTTTTTTTTTTTTCGTTGCGGGTCGTTTACCAACAGGACCTATGTGCGAAAGTATACTTTGCGCAGACCAGTAAACAAACAAAATATTATTTAATAGGAGATATATCTGAATGAGGGAAATAATAGGCGATTTTGCTCTGCTCTTTTTAAAACACCTGTTGTTTGTTTACAACAATGTGGACGTGAAAGATTTGTATGACATTAGGCCTATTTTTCAAGCCAGAAAATCTTGATATTTCACCCATGTTGAATTTGTGAGTACCGGTGTATGTGCTTTTGCCTTCACTGCCTCAACGATGTTACAAATTAAACCAACATTTTGCGATGATCACAGCTTTGCCACTCAAATTTACAATAGCACCACAGAAAATATGCTATGTTAAATTATGAGGTTCTAATACAACACAAGCTGCAAAAAAAGAGTTCATTGTTGATCAAACCAAATTAACCAATCACATCCTTTGTCTTCACTTTTGAAAATATTACTATTTATTTGCTGATTCTAGCAATTTGCTGCAGGTAGGCCTAGGCTACGTGTCCTTTTTTTTTTTTTTTTTTTTTTTTTTGGTAAACATAACCTTTGCATACCCGTATGTAATTGATGCGCAGGCGCATTAGAACGCCGACAAAATAAGGCGTGATCTGCAGTCAGAGTACCGGAGATATTTCAGCAATTTTCCTCATTTTGACAGCATTCCTCTCTACCTCCGCTTATATATCTATTCATTAGATATTCCCGACCAACTGATACAAAATGTTTAACAATAAACAGCGTGAAATTTCGAGTAGGCCTACCCCCATCATAACCTTGTGGTTTGTAGGCTACTTTTAAACAAATGCTCGAGCTCGTGGCTCTCAGATTTGCTGATCATGGATACTGAATTCTCCGCAATGAGTTGCGGACCTCACGATAGGTGGCGCTTTTCCAAGATATCCAACAGATAATACAACAACAGATCGCTGCGCCATCTGGTGTCTAATGATGTCATTACTATTCTTGCGGGATTTAACTTTTGGCGCGACGTTACACTTTTGACGAGTGGTACTACATTATAAGATTACGGGACTACATTATTAAATGATCCGACTACATTGTTAGAAAAAAATACGCTTTGGAAAAAAAATACACTCTTAAATTGCGTGGTGTATTTTTTGCGTGAATGGCGTTCCATAATAGAGGTTATACTGTAGTTACGTGAAATGGCGGAAAGTTATTTAAAGTTCGGAAGAGAAGCATACAATAACTAGAAAAGCACTCCGAGATTGCAGACCTCTGTCAAGGCAGCAATTTTTGATTATTATTGATTTATTATTGATCCGGATCACCACCAAAAACTAATCACTTCTAAGTTTACCCATTTCTGACCTACCCTGAAAATTTTATCAAAATCAGTCCATATTTTTTTGATGATTGATTTTTGATTATTAATCATTAATTGATTATTGATCCAGATCACCACCAAAAACTAATCACTGCTAAGTTAACCCATTTCTGACCTACCCTGGAAATTTCATCAAAATCGGTAAACTTTTTGAGTTATGTTGATGACAGACAACCAGGGGTGAAAACATAACCTCCTTGGCGGAGGTAATAAAGCAGCTATATGACTAAAGTAAGGACGCATTAGCCTATGTAGGCCTACAGAAATCTTCTTTTTCGGTGATTTTGTTGGCATTATACACTCAAGGAAAAAAGAAACGCAACACTCAGTTTTGGGAGTTTTTTGGGGGGCAGAATAATTTTATTTTTGAGATCAGCCAGTTTCATATGAACCCTACATCCATTTCTAATCCTCAGCCAAACTTTTTCGGCGTTTACACATTTTTGAGTCCAATAACACAATCAAACAATAGATCACCCCCCCCCCCCCCAACCAAAAGTGGCAGGAATTGCATAAAACTGTCAATAGTTCACGTGGCCGCTCGTTGGCATCCTGGACAGCGGTTATTCGTCGCCTCATGGATCAGACCAGGTCTGTCTGGTGATTTGCCGCGACACTGGGACTGCCCCACCGGTTCGCTTGGCGCACACAAGGTTCGGCATGCCTCTCCTGACGTCTCCACCATCTGCTCTGAAGCACGCGAACCTTTTCTCATCACTGAACACGACTTGGGACCCTCTCTGCAAAGTCCAACGATGATGTGCCGTGCACCACTCGACCCGAGCTCGGCGATGTTGGGGGGGGGGGGGGGTAATTATTGATCCAACATATGGCCGATATGGTCGGATACCGTCGGCACGGAGGCGATAACGGATGGTTCTGGCCGACACTGGCCTATGGTGTGTCCCAATGGTCTCGGCTGCTGACCTGGTGGCGGGCTGGAACCTGTCACGGAGATGTACCAGCCGGTTGACGCGGTCTTGTTATAGCGGTCGTTACACGGGGCGACCAGTACGAGGGCAGTCATTAGAGGCACAAGTGGCATGGCATCGCTCAGCAAGACGAGTAATGGTAGAGTGGTGGACTCCAAACATCCTGGCGACAGCAAGACAACTCCGTCCAGCTTGGAGCATGCCAATAGCTCGATCTCTCTCTGGTTCCGACCATCGTAAAGAAGTGAGTTTTTGGCTACATTCAATGGTGCCCTTCTATAGAGAAGGCTTGAGCACAGTTAAGCGGTGGTAAAACTTAACTCTGAGTTTCAAACATGAGTTTTTGTGCATAAAAAATCCCGAAATGCACTCTTTATTGTCCTCACAATCAGTCAAGTAGAACCAAGAGGTTTCTTAACCTGTCTTCAGCCTAATTTAGAGTGAAATTATGATGCCAAGCCATTTTTTCAAATGCACCCACATTTCGTGGAAATTTTCGAAAATTAAAATGTTGCGTTTCTTTTTTCCTTGAGTATATAATTATGGTATTTTTCCATAACAATACAGCGAAGTGTCCAAAATTACACACTGCTTAAAATTTCGGTAGATTACGGTAGAGGTACGAACTTAACGTGACTTGCCTTTGATTGACCATAATAATGGGATCCTGAAATTCATTTTATATCTGAAAGTTTGTGGAAAGCCCATTTTAATATGAGAAGTCCCCCAGACTATCAAATTCAAAACCCAAGACTGCATTCCTACAGATTTAGACTGCATTCCCACAGATTTAGATTGATCCATCTGGATCGACCTAACTCCCTGGGGGTTCACGCTAAATTGCTGTCAGCCGAGCGCGCACGGAAGTTTATTACCCCCTTACAGCTTTTAGTAGGCAGTTAAGCCGGTTAAGCTGACACCAATCAAGTGAGACTACCCAGGGGAATAGATCGATCTAAAAAAACTAAGGAAATGCCGTCTCAGACCCCATTTCCATAGATTTTAGATCGATCTGTCCCTGTGGGTAGTCTCACTAGATTACTGTAAGCATAGCCGGCTTAACCGTCTGTCCCGCCTACTAAAAGCTGTAAAGGGGTAATTAACTATGGTGGGCGCTCGGCTAACTGCAATTTAGCGTGAACCCCCAGGGAGTAAGGTCAATCTAAATCTTAATCCCTGGATCGATCTAAATCTCTGGGAATACACCCTTATTGTCCGCCGGACAGCCGGTTTTAAAACGCAAGGTCCGCCGGACTTCGAGAGGGCTGGACTCAGGTAATAATTGTCAATCCTTTTCAAAATGAAACGTTTGCAGCAATATTGTAGAAATATTTCATGCAAACTAAAAGTCTTAACAAAGAGTTTGCAGGAGTTTGCAAAAAAATTCTTGCTGCAAATTTGCATGAAGAAATTTCAGTTTGCAGCCGTCACATTTATTGTACTCTTACAATAATTAAGGTCAATTTGAAATTTTTCCCCGAATGTGGTGCGAATTTTAAATTTTGTTTGGGGGTGGTCGGCTCATGCCTTAGTTAAACTACCTCAGATCAAAATAACACGATCCAAAGCTGGGCCCCTGGGTACGTGTGTTTTGACAGCGCCCCTAGTTAAGAGCTGTGAGCTTGTTAGTGGGACGCTCGGGGTTGAGATTTAATGCTCAAAATCTCTATGTTTTCCTTCGTTACGTATGTGTGAGGGAGTGATTTGATATATCAGATTAAAGCTATATCTGATGGAGAGTGTGTGCGTAGCTGTGTACAGCGTACTGCATGAGGCGTCTCACCTCAGCGTGGTGTAGAGAGAGGCGTCTCACCTCTGTATGAAAGTGACCAAAGAAAGGTTGTACGGGTCGTACAGCCTGGAGGGGGGGGTTTGGACTGGTTGCAGAAAGCGCTTTTCGGTCAACAAGTGACCTTCATCAGCTGCAGAGTCCGACAGAAAAAAAAGGAAAAAGTGAGGGGGTGGTCAATGCTGTATAGCAGCAAGTGGTTTTCTCCCGGTGGAGAGAACCCGGTTCTCATCAAAGGTGTCTCGCCTTTGTGAGTGTGTGTCTGCTTGCGCAGATTGTACGTGCACTTGTGTGCGAGGACGTCTCGTCCTTACAAAGGTGTCTCGCCTTTGTATGTGTGTATCTGCTAGGCAGATCACAGTGAGACCACGAAAGTATCTCGCTTAAGTGGTGGTGTTGCTTACTGATAGCGGCACAGTAAGGTGGTAAGGACAGTCACCTGCGTGTCACTATTGTGAGCTAAGGAGTTCTGACAACGACGAGTTGATTGCTCAATGGTCGAGGTAGAACTGATTTTGCAGGTTGTCCTCTGGTTTCTATATAGTCTAGGGCGTCCGTTGATTGGTCGACCCACATGGTCTTTTCTGATTGGATGAGATTCATTAGGAGGTTCGAACCGATTCCGATTCCAAACACCAACCCCGATCTTCTAGAACAGGTCCGCACCCTACTCCTCACGATGAAAACCAAAAAGAGAAAGATCGTCACTTCCACAAAAGCAAAACGCCGCACAGCTGCCACCCTGAAACGGCTCAAATGAACGAGCAGCACCAAATCTTAAAACAGCCCTTTTCAGGGCTACTCACATGCTCAGGAAAAGCTATACCAAAATGTTCAAACAAGAAATTTATAAACAACCAGCAAATAAAAGCACTCTTTTGTCTTTTCCCAGAGGGCGAGAAACCCTCTCTATACTCTGAAAGAAACGCCAAAAAAAAGCATAAAGCCCAAGTAAAAGCTNTGAGCCGACCACCCCCAAACACAAACATTCTTCGTTCAGGCTCATTCTTATTGATTCCTGCTGATTCCGAAAGAGTGTGGCGGGGGTATTAGTGACATAAGTGCTAAAAGACCATTTAAACAAAGTTTCAAACAAGTTGTCGATTATGAGCTATAACCACTTATCTTACCATTAAATACACGCATTTGCAACAGACTCGAGGCATGTCATCTCGTACAAATGTGTGCAACTTCATGCTGTCAACGCCCATACTACTGCCTTGTAAATGGCACAAGGGATGTCTCGTTGCTAGTCTCGTTTTTGCGATATTCATTAATTATCTTGCCGAAGCAGGTAAAAGATCTTGCCGAAGCAGGTAAAAGTGTTTAAATTAATTTAATGTGTAATGTAATTCCTTGTTCTGACAGACCTGGAGAAGCTTAGGTGTCTTCCGATTTGGATACCAGTACAAATCTCCCGATCTCCCTATCTCCCGATATTAAGGCTGGAAATCCCCTTTCCACTGTAAACCTCTTACATGTACATGTCAAGTTTCTTGTGTAAACATCAGGACAATAGATTTGCGTTTAATAGTGGGCTCATACTAAGACTGCATTTCCCACAAATTTCAGATCGATCTATCCCCGTGGGGAGTCTCACTAGATTACTGTCAGCTTAGCCGGCTGTCTGTCCCGTCTACTAAAAGCTGTAACACCCCATTTCCATAGATTAGATCGACCTATTTTAGATCGACCTAACTCCCTGGTGGTTCACGCTAAATAGCTGTCAGCCGGGCGGACACGAAAGTTAATTATCCCCTTACAGCTTGTAGTAGGCGGGACGGACATTTAAGTCGGATTATCTGAAAGTAATCTAGTGAGACTCCCCGCGGGGATAGATCGATCTAAAATCTATGGGAATAGAGCCTAAGAGGGGAGATGGGGTGGACCTCAAACTTGACAAATCAACGTACGGAAGTCTTAAGGTACTGGAATAAGCTACAGACATCGGATGAAACCAGACTAATAACAAAAATCCACAAATGGTCACTTTTCAAACCTCGCACCTGGGAAAGTAGAGTGTTGTCGCTTCTGTCTCAGATGGAACTACATACGGAGGAAGACCTTGTCAACATTTCTTTAGCCAAAATAGCTTTAAAAACCGCGGATGAAAATTTATGGAAAATTAAGATGTGGGACGACAAAAAGTGCATAAATGGCAATAAACTACGAACATATAGAACATTTAAATGTGAACTTGTGACAGAATCTTACTTGCATAACAACTATCTGACTAGAGCACAACGACGGACTTTTGCTTCACTCCGCTGTGGAAGCGCACCCCTCAGAGTGGAAACTGGGCGTTACTCTAATACACCACTAAAAGAGCGCATATGCGTTTATTGTTCTTCTAAAGAAATGGAGAATGAGAAACATTTTTTAATTAACTGCGAGCTCTATAAAGACATCAGAGAAGAGCTTTTTAGCCTTGCAAAACAAATAGACGAATATTTTAATGTTTTTAATGACTATGAAAAGTTTATATTTCTTATGCGAAACGACCAAATACAATTTTATACAGCGAAAAAAGTACACGCAATGATGTGGAAAAGAAGCAAAGCTTACAACAAAGAGAATGTTTGAAAAGTTTTATTTATAATATCCTTTTTTATGTGTTTTATTGATAAGTAACAATTTAAACGAACTTTTATTAATGTTAAATGCAGTAGCACAGCTTTTAGTCTCTCATAACTCTTAGTAGGGTGGGTTTTGTTTATTTAAAACGTGAGACGTTAATAGAATTATTATTATTATTATTATTATTATTATTATTATTATTATTATTATTATAACTAAAAGCTGTAAGGGGGTTATTAACTTCCGTGCACGCTCGCCTGACAGCAATTTAGCGTGAACCCCAAGGGGGTTAGGTCGATCCAGACGAAACTGAATTTGCCAAACGGAAAACGTGCAGTCCCATAATATAGGCGAAAGATAAACTATAGCCCACTGGTATTATCAATTTTATTAATTGTTTAAACGATATGTGAGACTTTTTCCTCCTTTTCTTTGGAAAATTATGGATATTTCTACTAGAAAGCTCTTTTTTTAATTTTTCAGATGCATGTATGGAACTATTCGTGGCTCTGGATGTGTGTGTGTGTGTGTGTGTGTGTGTGTGTGTGTGTTGTGAAATCCTGCCCCAATTCCACATTGTATAATCATTGTATAATCATGTTATTATCTATTATGCGTCTGTCCTGCATACATGATTGTTTTTATCTGTAGAGGCTAATAGGTAGGCCTGAGACAGTTGCATGTCACCTGTTTATATTGCACAACAACTAGTATGTAAATAAGTATATAGCAGCCACTGACACGCATAGATTACCTGTAGATAATGTGTATAAATCCCGAGTTCTTGCACATTATAAACACACTAAAGTCTAAATAGACTTGGAACTGAAGATATGACGTAAAGTGGAAGACTGAGTCTGATCTGGAGCCATGTCGGAGCCCATATATTAGTTAATTCGTTAATGGAAATTGTTACACTGGAATTCAGTGCAATTATTAATTAAAGTGAAAGTCATTTCGGACGGTTCACAACAGTGTGTGTAGACACGAATCACTCCTATCTGAAAGTCCACCTCCCAATGGATTATATACCGGGTACCAGTTGAATCTTGAGGGTTGTTGAACGTATATATATATATATATATATATATATATATATATATATATATATATATATATATATATATATAGATAGATAGATAGATAGATAGATAGATAGTGACATGAGGATGGAACCATGAAAATACTTTCAACGGTATATTCATTGGGCAAGTCACTCTTGTGGTTAGATCAATAAAAACAGCTGATGACACAATAGGCCAAAATTGATCTAACTTTGTGTTAAGGTTTAGCAATGATACCTGTTCAAACAAAAACACGAAGGGCTGGTAATAAAAGTGAGTCATGTTTACGTGCAATTTCATGCTGATCCGCCATTAGAACTAACTAGGGATATATATAACAAGCGTGAGCGTGGAACAGAATGCTCAACAGTCCGGAGCTGTGTACACAATTGCAATTAATAAATAAATAAATAAACAAAAGACATGCAATAACCCCGACTCCGAGTTTTACGGGCATACCCAGGTATGCCCGATCGTCAGGAGGTTTATTTGAAAATGGTTTTATTAGCCGTTTTTACGTACACGGCGTGACGACACTTACGTCGCACGCCGTGTTAGTTACGTCACTTTATGCCGACACATGGTAATCATTTCAGTTCTTTTATTTAGAGTATCTGGTGTTATCATTATTAACAGTTTTTCGTCCAAGCACAGGTTGCATAGATGCTGATTCCTCCTTTGCGGCGCTGATTTCTTTATGATGTCCCATCTAATGTCATACTGGGTGTTATTTTACGTTAATTTCCAAATGTATTTCGATAACTCAGTATCTGCAGCATATTTCTTGTCCCTAAATGACTTGGTATGATTATTGTATCTCAATTTAAATTGCCCACCACAAAGACCTATATATTTCATGCATTTGTCCTTAGTTGTAACTGATGCTTGGTACGAAGGGAGAGTGTATGGGTTTGTTTGACCCTTGTTTTTGCCACGTTCCTTACGTACATCGTATCGCATTTGTTGTGTTCACTTTCCGAACACGGAATTATGTGAAACGCATTTTCTCACCACCCACTCCATACGGTGTCGTCATATACCATCTGCTCACTATGGTTGGACTTGTGCAGAGTTGCTGAAGTGTGGATGTAAGAGCAGATGCGCATATGAAAGGGAACATAAAATGCACAGTATATTGCACATGCAAGAGAGATTACAACGTCTAAACTATGGCAAAGGTTCGTAAAAAATCGTAAGGTGATAATAAAAACGTGGAAATGACTGGTTACTAACTTTGAGCATATTGCCTTTAAGTGTCAGGCATATGCTCCATGTTTTTCTTATCAGATGTTTGTAAATTGTACACAATTGTTTCAACTTACTGGCTTAAAAGTATGGATATCCTGCTCAAAAGTATAGGCAGTAATATACACATGTTTTATTAAAAAGTCTTATGCAACGTTAAATGCTAGTTGCTAGGGTAATATGTTGCCTAGCAACTGTAGCTTAGGTTAATTTGGGAATGAAAGGCTTCAAAATAGTCTACAAATAGTTCGGATGTCCTAAAACATTTTTACCAACATTTCTAAATCAATCGAAAAGACTTTTTTGTCATTGAAATAACACATAAAAGCATTTTTAAAAAAGGTGACAGGAAATTGGCAGGCAAAAATACAAGAAAAGATATATTAGTCAAGATAAATAGTGGATTAAAATTAATCTGTTCAACTTAAGTTAAAATTACCTATAAAGCTGAAAAAACATATTTACAAATCATTCTCTGCTAAAAGAATCTGCAATGATGCTGACCAATAAATCATCTTCTTCGCAACACCATGTGTATTAATTATAGTGTCTCATTTATGATATCCGTAAGCACGTTAAGCAAAACTGTATAATCTACATGCATAGGCCTACTGCCTTCCTTATCTCAAGTCAGCAGCCAAGGTGCCACTATGTACAACGTAAATTAAACGGCCAGGTGCCATTGTGGCTAAATCAATACAAAAAACAGCTGATCGACACAATAGGCCAAAAATAATTTAACATTATACGAGTGCTGAGGTGTATCAGTATAACCTGCTCAAACAAAAACACAAAGAGCGGGCCAAAAAAAGTAGGTCATGACATGTTTGCATGCAACTTCATATTGGTCCGCGTTAAGAACTAACAAGGATCAGTGTTATGAAAAGACCAGGGGAGAAAAATATATGCTAGTACGAATAGGGTGTGTATGGGTGTGCGCGATCCATTTCTTCTTCATCTTACGTACCTGCATCTTCTGGGCACACTTTCCTAACTAAGGATTATGTGAAACACATTTTCTCCCCACCCACTCCATACAGAAGCTTTTTTATGTTTTAATACATGTATCTACTATGTTTGATAACATTATGCCTACAGCATTGATATCAGATATATTATTTAATGGGTAAAAAATAATTAGCGCTGCCCACATTTGTGCTGCATGTGTAGTGCCGTACAAATGTAGGCTTAGTGTGTGCAAAATGTGGGCAGTTAGAGCTGTTCGTTGCTCTTTCTTACTCTGTTTGATATTTTGATGATATAGGTCCGTCTTTAATTACGAAATGGGACTGGAATATAAACTGGCCATGATCGGGTGACACAGTGAAAGTACAG